GTCCGTGATCACATCCGGGACTCCGAACTAACTTCGGTACATCAAAACTCATAAACTCATAATATAACTGTCATCGAAACCTTAAGCGTGTGGACCCTACGGGTTCAAGAACAATGTAGACATGACCGAGACACGTTTCCGGTCAATAACCAATAGCGGAACCTGGATGCTCATATTGGCTCCTACATATTCTACGAAGATCTTTATCGGTCAGACCGCATAACAACATACGTTGTTCCCTTTGTCATCGGTATGTTACTTGTCCGAGATTCGATCGTCGGTATCTCAATACCTAGTTCAATCTCGTTACCGGCAAGTCTCTTTACTCGTTTCGTAATACATCATCTTGCAACTAACTCATTAGTTGTAATGCTTGCAAGGCTTATGTGATGTGCATTACCGAGAGGGCCCAGAGATACCTCTTCGACAATCGGAGTGAAAAATCCTAATCTCGAAATACGCCAACCCAACATTCACCTTTGGAGACACCTGTAGAGCTCCTTTATAATCACCCAGTTATGTTGTGACGTTTGGTAGCACACAAAGTGTTCCTGCGGTAAACGGGAGTTGCATAATCTCATAGTCATAGGAACATGTATAAATCATGAAGAAAGCAATAGCAACATACTAAACGATCGGCTGCTAAGCTAATGGAATGGGTCATGTCAATCACATCATTCTCCTAATGATGTGATCCCATTAATCAAATGACAACACATGTCTATGGTTAGGAAACATAACCTTCTTCGATTAACGAGCTAGTCAAGTAGAGGCATACTAGTGGCATTTGGTTTGTCTATGTATTCACACAAGTATTATGTTTCCGGATAATACAATTCTAGCATGAATAATAAACATTTATCATGATATAAGGAAATAAAATAATAACATTATTATTGCCTCTAGGGCATATTTCCTTCAGATAGGTGGGCCACCGGTGCTAGAACTAGGTAGGGTGGTCCGGCGGATGGGGAGAGAGTGGCGGTAGACCTGATTTGCTAACCCTAGCTTACAGTTCGCCTCGTAATGGTACAGAAAGCGAACAGAGGAAAGGAAGGAGACGATGGGATTTCAGAGGGACTATTTGCACAGTTAAATGGTTTTACAAGGTCCTTTTTGCAAAATGTACCGGCGGCCACCTGATGATAACATTTTGTCCATCAACTTTTCATCCAATGGCTCAGAATCGCTCGGAGCATTCGTAGCACGAGTTCAGCCGTAGCACTGGATACGTTCTCCCTGAACACGGGCTGCCGTGCGACACAAACGCGGCGCCAGCAAGCGCACAACAAGGCAAACAACCTACGTGAATCTTAAAGACAAACAAGATCCAACGGTTTTAGACTTAGATGTGAGATAACTATTTCACATCTAGATGTAAAATAGCAAACTTGTAAATAAATTTTTGTATGAGGAGCAGTTTGTATGCCACTTTAGATGCTTTCTGTCTTCAAATCTATGTTGTCAGGTCTGATGCTGGGATCTATTGAGCCCAGGCCTTACATCTTCTTGGGTGTGCTGCTTTAGGGGCAAAATGAAGTGGTGGTGGGGTGGGGGTGGGGGAGGGATGTCTCCCCCTCTTCCTCAACAGCTAGTGCTCGCCGGGAAGATTGATGTAGTAGCTTTTGCGTCTTCTTTTTCTTTCTGTAAGACTTGGTGATTTCTCTTAATGGAAATCGAAGAGAGAGCTCTCATTTATCAAAAAATAATAATAATAATTCCTTATGTGTACACCCTATGCATCTTTGGTAGGCTGTACTCCTCTACATTCATACCTCTATACATATTCTTAGAACTATATCCATGACAGACGCTTCGTGTCCTCTTTACTAGTATTGACGTATATATTTGCACTGGGCACGTACGTGTACATGCCATGACACGATAGAACTAATTAAGCACGAATCTGACTCCGTGTTCAACACGATGCAAGACATACGATGCAGACTCCATATTTACACGACGAATGCTCCAGATTTCAGACTCAAAAAACAAGAAAATAAAATGCAAAACACTACTGTAGTTAACCATCTCTGCCGCTGCTGATTCATCCCCGTCTTGGCGTGCCTCGATCAAGCTGGTCACGAGGCCCTGACAAGGAACCGCGTGGCCTCGTCCACCATTGCCAGCTGCGCGCCTGGGAATTTTAGACAGCACTTGACGATTGGTCGGCCGTGAAATGTACTTTCATCATTTTTTGAATTGTTTGGATTGCTTACCACATGTTTCATGTGGTGAAATGTACTTTCATCATTGTTGTTCCGACTTCCTCACCGACACACGGCAGGCAGTTGGACGGTCACTTTTACATGCATGCATACTTCCGACTTCACAATGTACCGTTGGCCAATGCTCCACGGCCCTGGTCTACAAGGACATCGACGGCAATGCGAGTAGCACACGAGGCGCCGAGCCGGTCCAATTACTCGGCGGAACCGCGTACGTGGCTGGCATCTTGGCCTTCAGACCCGCGGGTAGTTGCTTTGGCGCGAGACGAGCTTAGGTCGCTGCGTCCATCATTTGCTTGTCTGGAAAAAGTACGGTTCACGTTCCAGTTGGCAGGCACGAACCACGAAGGGAACACTTCTTCGCCGCATGTTATCAACCATGCCCCTCTTCTGTGACGACTCATGTTTCTAGACAGCACAATATCGGCTCAAGCATAACTACACAGGCAAATTAAATCCTCCAGATCAAACGGCTTAGGTGATGGCTTTTGTACCCTGATTAGAGGACTACTACGGAGGAAGGAAGCATCATTCATTCCATCCCCGGATTCTTAAAGGCACCCCATCATTCTACCACAATGGATGGCATTGGAATACAGGTCAAAATAATATGCTCGGACTACCACAATGCATCTGGTCCGTGACTATTTTGTACGTAAAACTTTTGAAACATAGCATTCAAATTCGTCTCGCTTTATAAATAAAATACAAACGATCAAGCGATACAAGGTGGTAAAAAAATCCTCTTACAAAGCAAGGTGATCCCATCGCAACAGCAGAAACTGTACTGCAGTCCGCACACCGACATCCATGGATCATGATGAATCCGACCATGCATGCATTCCCAGCTTAGCAAACATGTAGTCGAATAAAAGTTGTACAGACATTTGCATGCATAAAAATAAGTACAAACATCCCTATATATAGATGTTGTACGCCGTTGAGCAAGCATCAACATATTGCAAGCCACTTGCAGAATGACTCCAACTAAGCAACACCACCTCCATGCTCTCCTGCTCCTCCTCATATGCTCCTACTCCATAGATGCTGCAGCCAAGCATAATGCCGCCGTCCCTTGCCACCCAGATCAAGCTTCTTCCCTGCTCCAGTTGAAACAGTCCTTCATCGACGTCGATGCAAGCTTGGCTTCATGGCGAGCTGGAAGTGACTGCTGTCACTGGGAGGGCGTCGCCTGTGATGTGTCCTCGGGGAGAGTCGTTTCCCTAGACCTTGGTGGGTATAACTTGGTGAGCCGTCGTCTTGACCCAGCAATCTTCAACCTCACATCTCTGCGGAACCTCAGCCTTGCGTACAATGACTTCGGCGCCGCCAACCTCCCATCTTATGGGTTCGAGCACTTGACAAATATCATCCATCTCAACTTCTCCCTTACCAATTTTTTTGGCCAGATTCCCATTGGAATTGCTCGGCTCAAGAACCTTGTCACTCTTGATTTTTCTGATAATTATGGCTTATATATGCAAGAGCCAAACTTCCAGACCTTCATGGCAAATCTAAGCTATCTGAGAGAACTCCGCCTTGATGGAGTGGACATCTCCACCAGCGGATCAAATTGGTCCATTGTTCTGGCGGACTCTGTTCCTCAGCTGCAAATTCTTAGCTTGTTTCTGTGCGGTATGTCTGGCCCTATCCATCATTCTTTCTCGAGGCTTCGTTCCCTAACGATTATCGATCTCGGAAACAATTGGGGGCTCACTGGCAAAGTTCCTGACTTCTTTGCTGAATTTTCTTCCTTGAGAATTCTTGATATATCAGGATGTTCTTTTAGAGGGCAGATTCCAACAAAAATTATCCTGATGAAAAGTTTGAGGGTGCTAGATTTGTCAAGGAGCCCTAATATTTCGGTCTGCTTACCAGATTTCCCTCTTGGTAATGACCTGGAGACATTAAATCTAGCAGGGACCACCGTGTCTTGTGATATACAGCCATCTCTTACAAATCTCAAGTCTTAGAAGAATTTGGGTCTAAGCACTGCAGGAGTTTCCATGGAGCTCTCTTTGATAGTACATAATCTTTCAACATTGAATCAACTGCAACTTTATGGACGAGAAATGGAGAATACCATACTATCTTGGATAGGCAATCTTACACAATTGACATACTTGATGCTATATGGCTATGATTTTTCTCAATCAGTGCCCTCTTGGATCGGCAATCTGGCAAGTTTGGAAGGTTTGGTAATTCGGGATTGCAATTTCCCTGGGACAATACCATACCAGATTGGCAATCTTGTGAATTTGAAAAAATTGGACCTCTCAGGTTGCAACTTCTCAGGGTCAATTCCCTCAACAGTCGGGAACTTGGTCCGACTTGAATATTTGTATATTCAGTACTGCAACCTTTCTTGTTTCTCTTCCCACCTAAAAGCAAAGTTGTCTATTTAGTAAAAAAGACAAGATAGTCGACACACTTGTTGAATCTATATTTCTCTCTGATAAGAGGGCTTCATTCGAGAAACCAAAATGGGCATGGCTATAAAACAAGAGTCTAGCATAGTACCTAGAGGAGCACAACGGAACATACAAAAGTCTAATTTAAAAAAGAAATTACTCTAAGTTATTGCAGAGCAATATATATTGGTCTTTTTTGATTCATGGCGGATTTCTCTGATGTTTTCCGGAATTGCAATATTTATGGAAATACTCTTTCAGCTTAAAATGTGCGTTGGTGTATATTTTGACTAATACTAACCTTTTTCATGCAGGCAAAATTCCAAAATCTTTGTTCGCTCTTCCAGCGTTGCATACACTTATGTTAAGTTCAAATCAACTTTCTGGTGCTCTGGAAGAAATTCCTGCCCCGTGGTCTTCAAGCTTATCTTCTATTTGGTTAGACCACAATGATCTCACGGGTGCAATACCCAAATCATTCTTTCATCTTAATCATCTCAAAGATCTCTACCTTGGCTCAAATAGATTAGCAGGCACAATTACACTTAGCTCTTTTTGGAGGTTGAAGAGCCTTAGTTCACTAAGTTTGTCCTATAACATGCTATCAATTGTGGACGAAGAAGATGACACTATATTAACCTCTCTCCCTAACGTCAACTACCTAGAACTTGCATCTTGCAACCTCACCAAAATTCCTCGAGCACTGAGATATCTAGGTGGAGTTATAAGCCTCGACCTTTCTAATAATCAAATTAATGGGGTTATACCAAGTTGGGTATGGGAGAGTTGGAAGGACCAGCTTAAATTTTTGAACCTCTCCCATAACATGTTTACTAGTTTGGAGAAATCTCCTTCTCTTCTTCATATGCCATATTTATCCATCCTCGATCTTAGTTTTAATAGAATTCAAGGAAACATACCAATACCAGTAACATTATACTTCTCACCAATATTCGTCACATACAATGAAGTTTTGTTGGACTACTCAAACAACAACTTCTCTTCCATTCTAGACAAATTTGGAAAGTATGTTCAAAACGTCACCTATCTCAAATTGTCCAAGAATAAATTAACTGGTCATGTATCATCATCCATTTGTAGTGCTAGCAAACTAACTATCCTAGACTTATCTTACAACAATTTTAGTGGTTCGATCCCATCATGTCTAATAGGAAGTGGAAATTTGAAAATATTGAAACTAAGAGAAAATCAATTCGAAGGAATGCTACCTGAAGATATTAGAGAAGGATGTACGTTTAAAACAATAGATTTGAATGGAAACCAAATTGAAGGTAATTTACCAAGATCACTATTAAATTGTCAGGACCTAGAGCTTTTTGATGTTGGCAATAATCAGATTGTCGGTTCTTTTCCATCTTGGTTGGGTGCTCTTCCACAGCTTCGAGTTCTTGTATTAAGATCCAACCAACTCAATGGTACAATATGGGATATTAAAGCTGACCGTACAATCAATAAATACTTCTCAACTTTGCAAATACTTGATTTGGCCTCCAACAACTTCTCTGGAAACGTACCAAAAGGATGGTTTAATGAACTGAATGCAATGATGGAAAATGTCAATGATGAGGGACAGGTTGTAGGGCAGCAAACAAACCTGCCAAATGGATTCTATCAAGATACTGTCACTGTGACATTCAAAGATCTCAAGCTTATTTTCACCAAGATATTGACCACTTTCAAAGTGATTGATTTTTCACATAACTCGTTTGATGGTTCTATTCCGGAGTCAATTGGGAGGCTTGCTTCACTGCATGGACTCAACATGTCATACAATAACTTCACGGGGCAAATCCCATCTCAGTTCAGCAACTTGTCTCAGCTGGAGTCATTGGATCTATCTCGGAACCATATCACAGGGGAAATACCACATGAGTTAACCTCACTTACCTCCCTTGGATGTCTGGATCTTTCATACAACAACTTGTCTGGAAGAATCCCGCAAGGCAACCAGTTCTCAACATTTTCTGACAATTCATTTGAAGGCAATGCAGACCTCTGTGGAGTTCCACTCTCCAAAGAATGTGAAAGTCAAAACTCAGTTTCTCCAAGTGAAGTGGCTCCTCCAGAATATGAAAGCTTGTGGCAGGACAAACTCGGTGTTATCCTTTTGTTTGCTTTTGTTGGCTTGGGATTTGGAGTCGGCTTTGCATTGGCATTCTTGTTGCGGATGTATTGTGGTATGGAAGGATGGGTCAGCAAGCAATCATGAATCCATATGTAATACTATTTGCACACTGTGTACTGTACTAAATTTTCTTCCTGAAAGAAGATATGCAGTGTGTTGTTTCAAAAAAAATATGCAGTGTGCATATGGGTTGTACTTTTTTTTAGGATGCGTATGGGTTGTACTTGTTGGATGAGACAGCTTAAATAAGCCACTTTTCTGTGGCAAAAGTTACTTATCTGCTTCTTTTTGTTGCACTGGATTGGCAGCACTGATCAACCTTATGGTATATACAATTATTACACATAATATGAAGTGTGTTACATTTTTTCATGAAAATAAAATATGCCGAATGTTTATGTGCCCCACTTGTCATATAGGAGTATATAATGAATCCATTTTCTTTGTTAGATACTAGTAGTATTTATCTGGTTTGTTTCATACACGATGCTCAAAGACTGCTATCAAACAAATAAAAAAACAAAGACTGCTATCAAACAAATAAAACGGCTGATTGTTTTAGCGACTTGAACTCTGCCTCTGAGGTTTTCTCATCCTGAAGACTGAAATTGCTAAAATTGCAACGGGATACAGCCAGGTAAGAAGCATCCTCAAATTTAGTACAGTACCAGTGGCCTGCGGCAGGGAGCATCCGACGGCGGTCTCTTAACTCCCTGTCCAAGGCGAGCCCTGAGAATCCCCAAATTTGGAACGTGAGTATCCCTAATTTTGAACGCTAATTGCTACTCTATGTTGATTTCATCGGGGCAATAGGCACAGCAGGTGAATAGTTTTCAAATGTTCTTAGCTTGATTATTTGAGATACTCGTGACGAACAATTTATATACTGATGATTGCTTTTACCTTCGAAAAATTACCCAATTTTTTTGGAACAACAGTTTCCGCTGACCGCTGTGCACAAAACCAAACCAATGGCTTCAGTTGAGAGATTGGGCATCGCCACTGGACAGTGTATTTACCACAATCACAAAAGAAATTCCACCAAATAGGCAGTCAAACATGGGACGTCGACCAGCACTTGATATGCTGAATTGGTCTAGGGCAGCAACACGAGATCGTTTGCACTCACAGCCTCAGAATTGTAAATCCAATCTCCATCACCTTCCGTGGTGAAACAAAGTCTGACTAGTCCCTTCAAGGAAAATCTGTACAATGCAGTTCAACGCAAACTGGCGGCATAGAAATAATTATACGCATCCTACATTCCTAAATATAAACGTTGTACACCATTGAGGAAGCAGCAAGTCGGTAAGTGGCAAAATGACTCCAACTAAACAGCAACACCTCCACCTCCTCATACTCCTGCTACTGCTGGTATGCTCCTACTCCAGAGATACTGCAACCAAGCATAACACCACTGTCCCTTGACTCCCAGATCAGGCTTCTTCCCTCCTCAAGCTAAAACACTCATTTATCGACATCGATGCGAACTTGGCATCATGGCAAGTTGGACAACACTGCTGCCACCGGGAGGGTGTCACCTGTGACATGGCCTCCGGGAGAGTCGTTTCCCTAGATCTTGGTGAGTTTAACTTGAAGAGCCGCCATCTTGACCCTGCACTCTTCAACCTCACCTCTATGAGAAACCTAAGCCTTGCTCTAACGAGTTCAGTTACGTTCTCCCGTACGGGTTTGAGTGACTCTCAGATATCATCCACCTCAACTTCTCCGCTACCAACTTTATTGGCCAGATCCCCACTGGAGTTTCCTACCTCAAGGACCTTTTAACTCATGATTTTTCTCGTAATCCTGAGCACATTTGCAAGAGCCAAACTTCCAGGCCTTCATGGCAAATCTAAGCAATATAAGTGTTATGACCCGGCAGACTTATGCCCGTAGGAGGCCCACCGGGCAGGTTTAGTTAGGGGCTTGACCCACAAGTTATCTTATTTTTAGCATCGTGGTTATATATACTAGTTGTAAGACTATTTTGAGATTAAGCAATAAGAATAATTCTATTGCCCGGCTCCCAGAGGAGCCGGTCCCTAAACCCTAGCCGCACCCCTCTCTCTCTCTCTCTCGCCGCCGTCCTCCTCCCCGATCGCGACGGCGCCAGCGCGCCGGCCGCCGCGCCCTCGCCCTCGCCCCCGTCAACCCGCTGTCTTCCCCTACAACCTAAGGAGCAGGTCCGGTAGGACCCTGGGTTCTACCAATTTGGCATCCAGAGAGTCAGGGTCGATCATGTCTTCTCCAAAGCCAACGCCATCGTTGCCGACCACCTCCACCGCGCTGACGACCATCACCACCGATGGGCCCCCAACTCTGTCGGCCCCGGCTGCGTCATCACCCGTCGCGCATGTGGCCATCACCACCGACGGGCCCCCAATCCCGCCGGCCCCGGGCACCACCGCTGCGTCATCAACCGCCGTCTTCACGCCGGAAGAAGTAACCAGCACCCTACGGGATCTCGTGATGGCTGTCCAAGGCATCCGCCTGCACCTGGCGGGACCGCCCGCGCCTCTGCCAGCTGCGACGACCGCCGCCTATGGCCACCTACCATTGCAGTGGCCGTCCCAGGTCGTGCCTGCACTTAGCGGGCCACCGTTGCTGCCGTTCCAGGCGGGATACCCCAGCGGGCAGCCGCCACCGTTGTGGCACCTGCAGCCGCCCCCAGCCGCGCCCCTCCTCTGGTCGCAGTGGCCGCCGCCTGCCACCACGGCTCCCGGCTAGCAGCCGCTGCAACTCCAGGCGCCACCTCTGCCCAGCTCCGGACTGCCGATACACACTAGTAGAAAATGGAGCTTTAAAACCGGTTCGTAAGGGCCTTTAGTGCCGGTTCCATAACCGGCACTAAAGGGTGGGCACTAAAGGGCCCCTCCCTTTAGTACCGGTTCGGCACAAAGCAGCGCTAAAGTGCCACCACGTGGCGTGAGCTCGCGCCCTGGTATGGGGGACCTTTTGTTTTGATTATTTTTTTGAATTTTTTTTGAATTTTTTTTGAAAATTTTGGAAATTTGTTTTGATTATTTTTTTTTGATTTTTAATTTTTCTAAATTATTTGGTGATTTAGTCTCTAATCATCTTTCTTAACTGCTCAAGTGTGGATCATTCATTTCAAATCATCTAACTTCCCGACTGGTCACCCATCCCTCTCACTACTCCAGCCCGAGCACGCTTAACTTTCGGGTTCTATTCTCCTTCGTTTCCAAGTCTGCACTTGTTGTTTTCCTCACAATAGTAAGATGTCAATCCTATTAACCCTCAGGAGTTTAGCTTGAGCATGAAGTCATACATTTCACTGTTTGAGTTTGAAACTATTATTCTAAAAAACAGTAATTATTTAGTAACACTAATATTTCTTGAATAAGTTTGACCACAGTTTGACCATATTTTGACCACAGTTTTACCAGATTTGACCAAAATTCAAAAAATTGAAATAATTATTTAGTAACACTAATATTCTTGAATAATTATGTAGTAACATTAATACTTCTTGAATAAGTAGTTTGACCAGATTTAACCAAAAATTTTAAAAAAACTTAAATTTGACCATACCTTTTTTTTCTTTTGGAATTTGAGGATTCTAAAAAATTGCAAACAGGCCGTAGGCAGTCTCCATCGGATGCGGATTTTCGTGCTGAATTTTTTGATATATTATACGTTTTTTCTGACATCGTATGCAAAAGTTATAGCCGTTTTACATTTTCCCTACACTTTTTGCAAAACATGTCCAAATTTAAGTTTTCAAATTTTCCTAACGTGTAGATGTAGTAATATAACTACCTCTCGAAGGATTTTATTGTTTGAAGTTTTTCTTTTGATTTTTTCAAAACTGAAATGGCGATACACGGGCCGGGGGGTGGGTAGAGTTTGAAAATTGCCCTATAGTGCCGGTTTGTGTCTTCAACCGGGACTATAGGTTAAGACTCTTTAGTGTCGGTTGGTGACACAAACCGGTACTATAGATTAGACCTTTAGTACTGGTTTGTGTCACAAAGCGTCACTAAAGGGGCTCGTGGGGCCCTGGCCTGACGCCAGCCTACCACCACCCCTTTAGTACCGGTTCGTGGCACGAACCGGTACTAAAGGTTCATTACGAACCGGCACTAATGCATAGCCATTCGAACCGGCACTATTGATCACATTAGTGCCGGTTTTTTTACAAACCGGCACTAATGTGCTTCACGTTTGACCCTTTTTCTACTAGTGACACCAGGTCCGGTTCCCGCCCTCCCCGTCGCCACTACTGGCTTGGGCGGCCGGGTCTTCGCCACCACCGGTTTACACCACGGCTCCGAAACAGTCGACGCTGTCCCTGCAGTTCGGCGGGCCATCCGGCTCTACGGGCCCCTTCCCGGGGTACTCCGACCAGACGCAGCAAGCCTCGGTGCTCCGCACCTTCGTGCCCGTCAGACGCGGCGCCCCAACCCAGACACCGTCGTGGTTCGCCAAATTTGACCCAGACACTACCAGTGCGACCAGTTCTTTCGCGGGCAGCGCACCCTCGCATCGGAGCGCACCTGGCTCGCCTCTTGCCACCTCCACGGCGCGGCGCAGACCTGGTACTATGCCCTCGAGCAGGACGAGGGTGGCATGCCCCCTTGGGAGCGCTTCCGCAAGCTCTGCATCCTTCGTTTTGGGCCTCCGATTCGCGGGAGCCGCCTGGCAGAGCTAGGCTGCCTGCCCATCACCTCCATGGTGTAGGACTTCACCGACCGTTTCTAGGCCCTGGCGTGCCACGCATCTAGCGTGACGGTGCAATTGTTGGGTTTCGTAGTAATTTCAAAAAAATTCCTACGCACACGCAAGATCATGGTGATGCATAGCAACGAGAGGGGGAGAGTGTGATCTACGTACCCTTGTAGATCGACAACGGAAGCGTTAACTTGGTTGATGTAGTCGTACGTCTCCACGGCCCGACCGATCAAGCACCGAAACTACGGCACCTCCGAGTTCTAGCACACGTTCAGCTCGATGACGATCCCCGGACTCCGATCCAGCAAAGTGTCGGGGAAGAGTTCCGTCAGCACGACGGCGTGGTGACGATCTTGATGTACTACCATCGTAGGGCTTCGCCTAAGCAC